GAGCGTGGCTGGAGGTCTGGGGGATGAGGGTCTGCCACTGCGAACGGAGATCACAGTTACTCGTCGGCGCAGGGTGCCGTCAGATCCGGGGATGAGAAACCTCTTCTTGCAACAGAGGGCAGGGTTTTGCCCTTTTGAGTGTCGTGCTGAAGGATCTGACAGAAACTGCCCTATATTTCAAAGGACAGAGCTTAACAGGACAGGATAGGTCTGGAGCGTGGAGGAAGCCAACGCCGACCGTACGATAGCTGTGGCGAGCGAGGGAATCGTTCTTGAAATCTGTGCGGTTGCTGGATTGTGAAAGCAGGAGCTGGTCCAGCAGATAAAATGTTTTCAAACTGCTTATCAATATTTGCATACTATGATTGTGCCCAAAATTGGGGAAGTACACATACGAGTAACTTGGGTTGGCCATTTGTTTGCAGAGTTAACCGACTTAGGTGTGTAATCACAGTAATTGCCCGGATAATTGCGTGCCTAAGGTTTAAAAATTTCCTCCGTGGTTTCCTTTCCCTCATCCTATATATTTTCTTCACCTCTGGCTTTCAAGTAGGCAGACCTACTGTTGAAACCTCAGCGTCGACTTTTATGCCTACTCTATTCAAATCCATTTCTACAAGGTGCTTTTAATCTCTAGGACGTCCCCTCACAAAACCTGTATTTTCCGCTTTTTAATCTGTAACTTAAATAAACAGATGTTCCGTCATGTGTTTTCCTCCCCCCCATTTCCTCCTACATACCCTAAATACCTTTAATTTTGAAAAGACTGAGAATAAACCTGATTAATGAAAATGAAATGTCTTTTAACTCCAGCATGTTTTAAATTACCTCTTTACTTTATATTGTGACAGAGTCCAAGCAGCGCCTTCCTAGAAAGAGCTCCATTAAAATGCAAATGAAGACTTTGCAGAAGTTGTCTGTTAATACGACGAAGGACGCAATTTCTTAGACCTAAGCAACACGAAATCGTCACCAGGTGGGGTTTCCCGCTGCCACCTGCTCTTTCTGCACACACAATCCCGCGTCTTCGCCTCGTCGTACGCACATTTTCCAGTCTCTGTCACCTGTGGGTGAAGAGCACCGGAACTAAACAGCCAAAATCCCTTTTCCACCCTAAATGCTCAAGCCGGTTTTCATGTGACGCTATCCCCCCTGCGCCTGCAGGTGTTAAATCCTTCTGTGCTTTAAGTCTTTCTTTTTTTTAGGCTCCACACTGAAATGTGAAGGTTAGAGGGGCTGACTGAAGGTTAGAGGGGCTGACTGAAAATGGAGCTATATCGTTATGCAAATATATCTATTTTGCATAAAATCTATATTATACCTGGTTGCAGCTACAAGCTCTCCTGCCTTTCCTCGCTCCTCCGTATTTGAGACCGAGCTCCCCCTGCCATCCCAAAGCTCCTCAGGTTCAGCACGTACGTTCCCTTCCTCTCCTCCTACCCAGCTTTTCTTCCTCGGGTCTTTGTTGGAAGAAAGTATTTATTTATGTAGTATTTATTTGTGTGTCAGGCTGGGCTGACTCCCCCAGAGCAGCAGCAGCTGCAGCCTGGGCACTGCCCTGGGGAACGCTCTCCAAGAGGGGGAGGGTGGCGGCAGGCCGAGTTTCCCAAAGCTGTTCCGCACAAAGGATTTCAGGAGACTTGAAAAGGTTTAATATGCTTTTGCCAATCACACTCCCCCCGCCCTCCTTTAATTCGAAGTTTGTGTTCTATTTTAGGTAAACACTGCAATTACTCAGCCTGTCCTTAGAAGAGGGGCGGTTTCTCCTCATGAAGAAGGAAAGAACGTGCGTGGAAAAAAGAAGAGAATAGGAAAAAAGATGAGCTGGAGGAAAAATCGGGGTAGTTCGTGTGATTTTTTGTGTGCAAAGCACCATAAACAAGATGCGCAAAGCAGAGGTTAAGAGCATAACGATGCACCTCTTCAGAGAAATGTCAGGGATTACAGACCGCGTGTTTCCAGCCCAAGTCGACGTCCTTTGCACGCCACCATGTCACAGATTTCATCAAGGCAGAGACTGCTGGAGGTGAGGACTTTAATCGCACCGCTGATAGTTTTTAGCACTGGGGGAACAGGTAAAAGTCATATTCCTGTAGCACAAGAGAGTTTGGAATCGCCCCGACGCGTTCCCTTTGCTTTCTTTACGAAGAGCGTGCGAGCGCTCGAACGTACCCCCAGCCAGCGGCACAGCCACGCTGAAGCCGCGTGCCAATGCTTAGTGGCTAGTCGTCGTCACTGGCTGCGCAAGTTAAGCGCACGCGGACTTGCGCGCGTGTCGTTCAGTTCTGCCGCCTTGCTCTGCGTCCCTGCACGCCTGTGATCGCCCACTAGACAATCTCGGAGACCGTACCACTGCTAATAAGCCGGCCCTCGCGTGCACCGTCCTCCCGCTGTCCCCTGTGCCGGGGTAAGGTGGGGCCGGACTGGGGAACGGCGATAGAGGAAAGCTGCCTGGGTTGCTGCGTTCGTACCGCATCCCATTTGCAAAATCATCCGTAATTCTCAAGCGTTCTCATTCCAGCTCCTCTCTCCAGCTCCGCTCTACCTTGTACGTATCTCAGTTGTAGGAGATTTTGCATTTGACAAATTAAAATGAGTTCTTGTGCGTCCTTGCCATGTGGTCAGTTTGGAAGCACGTTGAGAACACCCAAGTGGCCTAATTACTCTGTTTTTTTTCCCCTACAAAAGTTTTGTGCTTTGAAATAGAGGTGCAAAAAAATCCCGAGCTCGCAGCGATCCCCCTTTTGTTTCCACGTTCTGTACTCGGTAGACACGGATCTCCATCACCGAAGCCTGTTCTTCCCTAACGACAGCAGGAAGAAAGACGTTTGGAAGGGCTCTGCTCCTCACGGCAGCTCTGGATCCCTGAAAATCCTGGGACCATCAACTTTGTTAACCAAGTTAGAGCAGCTCACTGATGTCGGAGGAAAGGGTTAAAGGACCCACATTCCTGTCCCTATTGCTCCGATCAAAGGTCAGGCGGTTCTTTAGGTGAAGGAAGGGAGGGAGGTGGTGTGCAGCCCTGACCAGGTCATTTGAGGAGTAAACCACATCTGAGGCGAGCTAATGAAGCAGTATTTGTCTCTCTCGCAGGCACATACTCCCGGTCTGTGCCGGGCAAGTTAGAATTCCTTCTCTAGTGGGAGTGAAGATGTCGATTGTATTTTTTCCATGATGTGTATTGAGGCATTTGCTAGGTTGTGGGAGTAAACACTTGGGGGAATTCTCCGTGAGCTAGCAAGGGCAAGTCACAAGCCTACTAAATATGGTGAATGAAGATTACAAAAAACCCCTGGAGAATAAAACTCCCTCTTTCCACCCCATCTCCCCACCACCACCACCACCCCCGCATATTTTTTCTCATTATCGTGCACTGCTGTTTCACCGCTTGCCGGGTAAATCTGTTGCCATTTGTGTGACTAAACACAATTGTGCTGCTTTAGTTTTTATTTTCAGTACCGAAGGGCGGCACTGGGGTGGTCCTTCACGTCTTCACCACTAACCGAGGCGCACCGCACCGTCCTGCTAGAGAAAGCAGAGACACCAAATATTCAACGGGGGGGAACAGCAGGAAATGCTCTCAGGTCTGTAAATACTTGAGGGGGTGAGAGATGATGTTCATGTACAAAGTATTTGACCAGCCGCATCCCACTGACCTCCTTTGGTGCTGCTCTTGAAAGGGATTGGCCGGCGCCAGAAACAGTTGATCTTTAATGGTCCAAAAATACATTCCCTTTCAAAGCCTCTCAAGTGGAGAAGCATCCAGGCTGCCAAATTCGCTCCCCACTCCCAACTCCTCGTGGCCTGGCTGAGTTCAGCTCCTGGGTGTTCGTTTAGGTTCACCCAAGGCTGTAGGTGATGGTAAGGATGGAAGGTGCCGGGGCCATGGCACGGGGGGGGTGCAGGAGCGCATGTAGGGGGGGACAGAAGCAAGCTCTGTCCCCAGACCTTCTCCTGGCTGCTCCGTCCCCACCGTCCCCGGCTTGCTGCCCTGGCTCTGTCTCGTCTCTCTCCTGCTCTCCTCCCTGGGGTGGCCCAGCAGCAGCCAAACTCTGGTTCCGCAGACCCCGTTGGGAGCCTGGAGCCAACCTGGGGCCCCTTTGATTCCCACCCCGAAGCCACTGATCTTTTCGGTGCTCAAAGGGGCCAGGCTCAAGCAGATCACTTTGTACTACGCCGACATCGCCCTCCTCCTGCAGTAAGGGATCTCTGCTTTCCTTCTTGTGAGCTTGGGCTCTTCTCAGGGTTGCTTTCTGCTGTATTTTATATCGTAGTGCTCTGGCACTTCACCCCTCTAACAGGTTTCCTCCTTTCCCAGGTACGGATCCGGAGCAGCTCACCGCTCTGCGTTTTGGATGGTACTCTTTAACCAGATCTTCTCCTTTTGCAGCTCTTCGCTGACGTTCGCCTCTGTACATCTGGGAAGAACCACTGCCTGGGCCGTGCTTCCTCCCGAGAGCAACAGCACAACGCTGGCACGTTTAGAATAAATTTTGATCCTTCCTCCTCCGGTATCGCCGTCCTTCACACCTGCAACCTTTCCCAGCCGTCACCCGGGGGCTCACACCAGCCCCTTTAGAAACGGGCAAATCCATTTCTCCTTTCAATAGTTGCGAGACACAAATGGGGACATTCCCGTAGCGCCGGCATCCTGCAAAGTCTGATTTGGCTCTCGGTTAAGCTCAAGCCTTTTTGCCACAGCGCCTCAAACTACTCAGCATTTAAGAGAGATTTAGCTGAGACATGTCCCTCTGTTTGCGACGATTTTGTTTTCTTCAGAACCCAAAGAAATTGCAGGGCTGCACGCGAGTCCTTTGTTTCATGCAATCTGTATAAATAGTGCGTGTAGCAGAGCTACGCTTCAAAAAGGCAGAAGCAACAGTTAAAATATGTATAACTGCTGGAGTCTGGGAAGTGTGGTTTGGGGTTTAGTCAGGCAATTGGTAGTTCGCCTGATGCTTCAGGCCACGTTCGAGGTTTAGCTAGGTTAAATACGGTAAGGCAAGTTTTGCTCTCGTTTATGCCGCGCTCGGGCTGACGCTCCAGGGGCGCAGTCCGGCCCTGGCTGGGTGAATCAACCCCACCTCCGTTCCCCGCTCCGCTCGGGAGGGATGGAGAGCTCGCCTTCGTTTTGCTCCTGCTCTGATGCTTCTTTCTGGTTTTACCTCCAGTGTCCTGAATTTGCCCAGAGGGCCCAAATTTGGGGGTCCCACGCGGGGCAGTGCCTGGAGCTGAGCTGGGGGTGGGGGGGTTAGCGGTAGATCTCTGTGGGTGCTTCCCATTCTAAAATAATAACAAGAAAAGTTAGGAGGACCCCGGCAAAACATCCACAAAATGCTCTTAAGTAAATCAGAAGCATTTGGCACGATATTTGAATTTATATTAAATTGCTTGTCATGAGGAGCGATGAGGCTGTCAATAAATTAGTTCCTATTAGAAGCTATTCAAAGGCAGTTAATAGTATTTAGCATCACCGAGCTGTTCTGTGAGCAGCCGTGCTGACGACGCCTGGTTCCTACGGACCTGGGAGCTCTCGGGGTCACGCCGGTGGCCGTGTATCATGGTGGGCAGCATCTTCCTGCCGCGATGCCGGCGGCCGCCCTCTCCTCCCACCCTTCCCGGCGGGAAAGCGGCTCATTTAAGTGCAAAAAACCTCTTGTTGGTGTAAATGGCACGTGTGTAGGTGATGGGTGTCCGCCGTCGGCACTTCGCGGTGATCTCCACTCTCTCCCCCTGGGTTTCTCCCTGCTCACCCCGGCTTTCCCCCTCTGCCCGGAGCGCCCTGACTGGCTCACGCAACCTGCAGCCGACATCCCCGTGCTGCCCGGCTCCGGGGAGAGCTCGGCCGCTGTTCCCAGCCCTCGGCTCCCGCAGGATTTCCTATCTGGGCAGAGCCGGGGTTGGCAGGGAGGGGTCCCGCCGGGCGCCCCGCAGCCGCCTGCTGCGGGAGGCGCCGCCGGGTGCGCGGGGTGGGGTGGGGAAAGGAGGGGAGAGGAGGAAAATGGGGAGTCACGGGGGGAGCCGCCAGATAAGGCTGGGCTGGAAGCGCCGGGCGGATGCAGCTCCGGGCCGGGGCTCGGACCTGCGCCCCGGTCACTTCCCTCGTGTCGCCCGGCCGGAGCCGTTACGGGAGCCCAGGGATGAAATTACAGCCAGGGAGATCCAGCACCTGAGCAGGGGCCGGGCTGGCTCCGGCAGCACACGGCAAACAGGCAGCGGAAAATCCCTCCCGGAGCCAGCCGCCCTCGGGAAGATGTTTCCTCTTCTCCGGTCAGGCAGGGCAGGGCACGGGCAGAGCCTAGCATCGCTCCGGGGCCGTGGTCAGGGGGATATCAGTCCGGAGGGGTGCGGGGGTCCAGGGGAGGCAGGGCTCCATGTCCCCCAGGGCTCGACTCTGTTACCAAGGCACCAGCAGTGATGAATTCAGCCTCCCCTCTGCTCGCCTTCATCCCTCGCGTGTGCTCAGCCCCATGCAGGAGCCCTCTCGCCCGGCTGTCGTGTCTGACCCGATTTCAGCCATCGGATGGGAAAATAGTCACTGTCTGGCTGAGCCCTGAAGCCGGTCCCGGCCGGAGCTGTGCTGGTGGGGCCGGCACCTGCTCCCAGGTTGGGGGATGCTCCCAGGGAGAGGGACAAATGCCGCTGCCCCCGAAGCCTGGGGGAGCCCCTGCTCTCTAGGGAGGTGGCGCAGGGATGCAGGCGAAGAAGACAGATGCCTTCTTTATTTTCTTTCCCCCCAGATTTAGTAGTTCCAAACCCCTCCGAAAATTTCCCCGCTCTCTTCTCAGCTTTCCTAAACCCAACCCACTCGCTTTTATTGCTCCTCTGGGAATCTCTTCCATTGCATTATCTGCTCCCAGCATTGCCGCACCAACCCCGAGCTTCGATTCCTGCCCCCGACTGCCGGACCCGGCACCGGTTCAAGCAGCCCCGTAGTGCCTCTCCTCTGCACGCCTCCGTCAGATCCCGCTCCATCTTTGCCTTTCCCGGAGAAGGCGGCACCGGAGCTGCCAAGCTGCCGGTGTAACCCTCCCCCAGCGCCTGCAGCCGCATCCTTGCACTGCGCTCCTTCCTCTCCGGCCTCTGAGGGTTTTTTGGGGTGAGGGGAGCGGAGCTGCCCTGGCAGACGTGGGCTCCCGGCTCCTGCAGGGTCATGCAAACCCCCCAGGCAGGGTGGGAACACCCTGGCCCGGAGCCCCCCCCGGGCTGAGACCTGCGAGGAGCTGGGGGGGTCCTGCCGCTGCCGGACCGGGACCCTCAGGGGGTGCAAGCAAACCCCAAACCCACTCTGTTTTCCCTGCCCAGGCTTGCGTTAGTGAGCAGCAGACGCAGTGTGGTTTTGGTTTAATCTGCAGGGAAATCTTCACACCTTCCTTTGCTCTTTTCCTCGCCAGCCCCTCCGCCTGCCAGCACGTCACCTTCGCGGGGGCAGCTGCCCATCTGGTGGCAGTTGCCGGGTTTTTTTTAAACGTTTTCCTCCCTCCCTCTTCCTCCTCCACCCATGCAGCGCCCTCTGCTCCTCCTCTGCTCGCCCTCATGGGCACCTTTGCTTTCTCCGTGAATTTATTGCTGGTGCAGCACGGATACAGCTCAGTGGGACAAGGGAGGATGGAGAGATGCTGTGCCGGTGCCTGTGCCGCTGTCGGTGCCGGCTGGGATTTGACTCTCCCAACCTCCAGCAAGGGCGGTTAGACCAGGAGAGCAGCTCCCAGCCTTGCACACGCGCGAGCAAACCCCACTTCTCCTCCCAGGGCTGGAGGTGTCTCTCCTAAGGACAGGGTTAAGGTAGCAGACATGTTGCCTCCTCTTTCTGCGAGGGGTTAGAAGGGGTATAGCCTGCATCCGTGCAGATGCGAGCTTGTTTATTCTTACCAGATAGTTTGATGGCTTTATCTGATCACAGGTTTTCCTGAGGAAGGAAGGGTGAGTCTGAGTCACTTGAAAATGGGGGCCCTTCATCTCTGGGTATGACTGGCGGGGCCATGGATATTAGCAGAGCCCCGGGGCAAGACGCGCTCTCGGCACTCTCGGTGCTGGCGGCTCTCCAGCTTTCGCTCCGCCGC